ATTTCAAAAGAAAGATGAAGTATCCCACATGAAAATCATAAATATAGATGCAATTATATGACTAAATACTTATTATAGGTAGTTTACAAAATTTAAGGATGTATGAAATTTGTCAATTACTTGTTTAGTGAAGCGCACATATGGTAAGTTGGTTGAATACTTTTTTAAATATAGTGACACACATGAAGGCCTAAATAAGTGAATGTCAAAATGTATTGTTTAAAGTTAATGGACGCAATAAGAAAAATATTAAAAAGTTACATGTTCACATCAAATTTGCAAGTATGACATACAATGAACAAGATTTGAAATTGAGGAAGTATTTAATACAATTATACAAACATGAGGTAAAATGGACTATCATTTTGTCAAATTACTTTGGTAAATATGAAAAATTTCAACAATACAAATAATCTTGTTCTTATGATATTGTTGTGTGTGTTATAGTCAACATTAACCATTTTTTTTTCAATATGTTGATCCTATTTCTAAGGTTAAATATGTAATGAATATATATTTAGTACTATGATGGCCCATTGGGAATAAATGTGGAATTTCTAAAATAGGAATTAAACATACTATGTTAAATTGCAACCTAAATAAACATGTAGAAGTGTTGGTTTAAACCAACACCATTGTCCTCATTGTAAGATCCCTCTTTTTAATTATTTATTGTGTGATAATTATTCTAATATAGGATGGTATTGGGGTATGTTTTAAATTGATTGAATGATTGTTTATTAGAGTTCTGGTGTAGGGGCATCTCACTCAAGCGAGACAGATCTCGTTCAAGCAAGACTAAACTTCTAGAACCATATGTTTTCAGGGCAATCTCATTCAAGCAAAAATAGGATAAACTCAGTTTAATTATCCCCTCGCTCAGGCGAGCTGAGTCACTTAAGCGAGAACTCACAGGAAAAATTATCCAACTCTCTGGATGTTGTCTCACTTAGGCGAGCATGACCTCGCTTAAGCGAGAATATAAAAAAAAACTTGGAGAGACCACTGTCTGGTGCTTTCACCTAGGCGAGAATTATGTCGCTCAAGCGAGTGCTTGGGTTTGAGAGGTATTTAAGAGATTTTCAGCATAAAAATTTTATTTTATTCCAAACCTTACGTTTTCTCTAAACTTTCTCTGAACTCTCTCACTTTCTCTTCTCAGATAAAACCTCTTCAAACTCTGATCACTCCTAAAATCTATGTGACTCCAAGTAAATTTCTCTATGTTTAACTTTACTTTTTTCCATTCGTTTCTCTCTCTCTTTTTTTTTTTTTTATTTCTCAAGGATATCTCTTGATACCCAAGGAAAGCTTCTATTGTTGATTTATAACCTTCATCAATATCTCTCCGAATACTCACCTCAAAGTAAAAAGAGCTCTATTTTATTATTTTATTAAAGTATATATTTTGTGATCATAGGAGCATTATTACATAATATTTGTATGAAACTATATGTTTGAATAATAGGATTTGTGAAGGAAAATTTATGATATGTGTGTGGTTGTTTGGCTTGAGTGATTATGTTGTGATTACATAAAATATATAATAAGATGTTATGATAAAGTATGATACTGCATTTGTTGATTTGAAATGTATAGACTATATGTCGAGATATGTATATGAGAATTTTGTGACTGTGATAAAAGGTTAATGATACTGGTCTGAATGACAATGATTGAAACCATATTAAGATGAGATGAGTGATGTGGACTTAGTCTGGAAGTATTTTATTAAGCATGATCTTGTGGTTGAAAAATAAAATTAACGTGGGATGAATATAAAGGATTGTGTGAATCTACTGTGAATAGTTATAGAGATATATTGAGGTATAAAGTCTGGAGACGGTGAGAAATATGGGAGAAATGTAGGGTAGTGAATGACATTTGAATATGCGTACACACTTTTTCTGAGAGTAAAAATGTGTCACATGACCTCACCCTCGTTTCCTGACTAAAGTCCTGACTATACTTTTACTAAGGAATCTGTTATTGTATACGTTGTATCTGTGTATATGGGCTAACCGATGATTATTTACCTAGTTGAGTAAGATCTCAAGAAATGTTAGAGGTATTATTTTTTATGATCATAGTGCAGTAGGAGTGCGTGTTTGATGGAAAAAATTTAATGATATATGACAAATGCATGTGTTGTGACTATGTGAATATTGTTATTCTGTTAATTGGTTGTTGAAATGATTATGTCTTCTGATATATCACAACTATGATTTCATGTATTATGGTTTGTAAAATGGTAGAATAGATATTTATCCTTACTAAAATTTTCAGGAAACCAGAATGATGGCACCCTAAGAAAGAATTAAAGTAATAGATAGTTCTATACATTATAAACTAAATTATGTATTTAATGAGTACCAGAAAACTTGTTAGACTAATAGAATCCACCACACCTTGTGTATATATATTTATAGAGGTACGGTTATGACTTTGGCAGATATGACTTACTTGTGCACTTACTATGACCATAATCATCTCTAAAGACTGACTCAAGTTACTTTCGAGCGAGTCTCGGGTGTTGAGGTCACTGCTGATTTTGGTGATCTCTATCTTGAAGATGATGAGGATCTAAATTTTGAGGATCTAGTGGAGATTGAGGGATGTCATGGTGATGATTAATACCTAGTCCTCAGTATTTTGGATATGGAATATGGCTGCTCTGGGAATTAGTATTTTTTATTACGTAATTATTGTTTTAAGTCCTATATTTTTTTATGAATGTTTTGTAAATTATTGTATTTATTACATATAAGTAAAATTTTATCATCTATAATTCCCTCATTACTTTGGAAGATATTACTTTGGAAGATTTTACATTACAGTTCACTTTGAAATCGATATATATTTATTTCGATTATATATAAATAATTGTTCTAATTTGAGAAATAAAAATTGAGGATGTTACAAAAATTCACTTTGTCTCTAATAAAAAAAAATTCACAAGATTAGCCATGACCAAACACCACACTCACCACCTTCTATTACCCCGATCATATTTTACCTACCCTCGCTCCTATGGATTTGGATCTAGTCTAGTTAATACGGGAACTGAACGTCCATTTTTGTTTTTGTTTAAACGAAAATAGACTCGCTTAAGCGAAAATACAGAAAACGATAATTTTTTTTAATGAAAATTTAGGTTAAGCAAATTTTTTTTAGTTTGAGTAAATTTTGCAAATTTGCTTAACCAAATTATTTTGCCTTAAGCGAATTTTGGGCATTTGAGGAAATGGAAGCTAAGTGTGAGGGGAAGAGAGGATTGAGGATAGATAGAGATAAGGAGAGTGGTGGTATAGGGGTGGTGGTGGAGGGAGAGAAGGATGGAGAGTTGGGTATGGAGCAAAGAGGGATAGGTATGAGGTGGGGTAAGAGTGGGAAGAAGAAGAGAAAAGTTGGACATAAGGTGGAGGAAAGAGGGAGTTGGGAGAGGATTAGAGGAGTTAGGTATGAGAGAAGGAAGAAGGTTGAATATGGAAGTTAAAGATAGTTGAATACAATGGTTGAGGAGAGAGTGTTAAGCATGAGGAGAAGGAGAAGAGAAGATTAAGAGAAAAGATACAAAATTCGCTTAAGTCAAAATAATTAGCTTAAACGAATCTGCAAAATTTGCTTAAGTTAAAAAAATTCGCTTAAGCTAATTTTGCATAAAAATTCGCTTAAGAAAAAATAAAACTAGACATTTAATTCTCGTGTTAACTGGATTGAATCCGAATCCTGCCCCTATGTCTTGCTTCCAAACTGTTCTATTAACTCTCACAAGATTATTCCATCATTACTAACTTTTTGTGACAATGTAATATTTGACCACCCACTGCTAGAGTTTGACAAAGTGGTGATCATTGGACTCATCAACGTAGACTTAACTCTAGTGGTGTCATGGACATTTTATTAACATGACAACATGCTTGAATGCCATCAACTAGATCTTAAAAGTATGCGGTGAGGAATGTTAACATAAGAATGCGTTAGTTGCATGAGTCAATAATAACGTTTTATTGTATGCTTGAGGGGCAATAAAAGTTCACACATTTTGTAAGTTTAGTCCAACAACGATGTTTCTCTCTATCAACTATTTGGATTATTTCTTGTTTTACTCTTATCTTTCAATAAACTTGATTCCTCTCCAATGGTGATAGTGACCGAGTGGGTGGCCATTTCAATTGTGATTAGTTTGTCTCTAGCAATGAAAATGGAGGAGCCTAATGTGTTGCTCTTGCTGGACCTGCAATTGTTTGAGCCTAGGTTTGTGTTTAAGCTGAAAAATGTTTAGAGAGTGAAGCTTTGGGTTGTGGCCAATCTCAAATGGAGACTTCACTCTATTATACCCTAAGGCCTTCGTTATTTTACTGTCACACTTCCTTCTTTTTTCTTATCTTTTGAATCTCTAAACCTTAAAACAAATTCTTTTTACAAGGACTAAAAGTAAACTTCCATAATTTTATAGAAACTAAAGATATATTTAACTTTCTAAAACACTATAATAACGTGGAGCTTCATTAACCACACCAGCAATTAAAAAGGACTAAATAACAATAGAAACGAATTTTGAACATTTTATATTAACTATGACTAAAATAAGGTTTTATTTTTATTTTTTATTTTTTAAGAGTACAAGTGAATTTTGATAATTTTACAGGGACTAAAAGCATATTTAGCCCTATATTTTATAAAAAATATTCTTTTATACTGTATTACAATAATTATTTAATAACTTTAACTAATTTATAAATTAATTAGTATTTAATATTAAATTTAAATAGTTTCTATCTAACTTCAATGTTATTAATCACAATTTGTTCATATTTTTATAATTAATTATTTAATATCAAAATTAAATATTTTAATTTTATTTTAATATTATACTGCGTAATATTTTACTCTAACTATTATACTACAATAACATTTAACTTCAATTAAACCACTAATATTTATTTACTTTCGTTAGAAATTGAATTATAAGTTTGATCCAAAAGGTGAAGTATGAGGAGGAAACAGAGGTAAGCTATTAATATAATAGCATAACGTACAAGAAAATGAAAAGGAAAAAATACAGGTAATAGGGTATGCAAACTTAAGCTTCACTAAAAATATTGTTCACTCGATGAATTCTCGTTTGTAAGCAGGTAGGCACTGATGTACAGGAGTAGCTTCAAATAACAGTCGTGTCCTACATTTCCTGAATTGAATATTGCTCGACAATAGTATATTTATTTGAACTTCTACTCTAGTAGCAGATTGGTTTCTATCAGATGTGAACTACTTAGATAAAAAAAACGTGCTAATATTGCATTAAGAGTCTAATTTTATTAAGACTTCATCATTATAATAATGTTACAACATTGTAATCACGACCATTTCAGCAACAACATCAAGAGCAAAGGATCAATGAGCATTTCCTCTACATGTCAACGGCAATCTTAGCATCGAGGTGAGAGAATTCAAGGTAAAAGGCCTTGAAATGCTCGTATGAATACTTCACATCATCAATAGCACACATTTCTCGTATGCTATGCATTGACAATTGCGGTGCACCGACGTCAACAGTTCGAACACCTACGCCACTGGCAAGAATAGGACCAATGGTTGTGCCACAAGACATGTCATTGCGCACCACAAAGTCCTACATCAACATACGTCGTTATAATCCGTTATCTCATACTAGTGCTCACACAATTTCAAGCTTTTAGTGTTATTTCTGATGATTTAAAATAGGTGAAAATTTTCTCCTTGCAATACTACAGAATATAGATACTAAATAGAGAAGGCTTTTCACCATGATTGTATCTTGCTGTGCAGGTACAATCTGTTCCAATCACAGATGAAGAAAAGAGAGATAAAACTGTTCACCGAACTGACCTGAACGGGAAGGTTATGCTTTGATGCTATCTCCCTGAATATAAAGGAAGTGACAGCATTGGTTGCGTAGCGTTGACCTGCATTGTTTTTAATGACAAGTCCTCCATGTAGTTTAGGCTGATGATTTTCTTCATGCTTCTCCTGTAAAAAATTAGGTTTCCATGAGGAACAACAATTTGAATTATTGGCAAATATAAAAATCAAGGCAATAAAACGACGTACCATGTAATTGGGGTGAAGTGCATGTGCCATATCGGCAGATACAAGGAAGCTTCTTTGTACCGCTTTCTCCAGCAGCTAACACAAGTCATCAGAAGGAAAACTCATTAAATACTGAAAGCATAATCAGTGTGGTTTTCCACTTTCCACCATTCAAATATCCAAAATGCTAGCTTGTGAAGGGGTGGTGTATTGAATTATGAGGGCTGACATAATCAAATCCCCGTCAGCCCATACCTAGATTTAACTCACGAAATAAGTTGCAAGTATCATCCATATAGTCCTTGTTGGGAGCAAATAAAAGGAAAACACACGTTGTATGTACCATCTATGGCTACACTACAAGGTATTACTGATAAAGTAACAATAAGACAAAGGTCGCTTAAAGCAACGTGAGACTTAATCAGATTACATAATCCATATAGTCCTTAGGTTCAAAAAATGGGTAAAATAAAGTTGAAGAACTATACGTTGGAATTTGAGCTGAAGGAATATGTAACCCTGGACAAAGCAGTTAGCATAACAGGAGAGCCAGCTCCTTGTGCAGAATCAGATCCAACTTCCTCATGGTCAAACAAAGCCACCATTCTAATGCCAGTCTCTTCCTCAAGACTTCTGTCAGAGGATGTTGCATCTATTAATGCCTGGAATAGAAATCAAAATGTCGGCATAGGATATTTAAAAACTACTACGCTACTTCATTTTAAAATTTTACACATCATCCAAACACAATTTATAATTTCCAGGTAGACAGTCACTGAGTCACAGAACTTAAATCTTAGTTTAAGTCCCAAAATGCTAAAGTCTGATGACAAAACCCCAGCGAATAGACACATATGCCTAGAGATTTTTTGTATCTGTGATGTCATCCAACCATCTGTGATGTCATCCAACCACACCTTTCCCTACATGTTGGGTGAGTTGGTTTATATTAAAATTCAACCTTATAGGCTCAAGTAATCAAGACCTTAGACAGAAGATTTAAGGAGAAGCTTAACCCTACATTTTATGGAAAATTTGAAGTCCTAGAGAAATTGGACAGGTGCTTACAAACAGAGTTTAACTCCAGTTTCTTTTAGTTCTTGCATTATAGCATAACTCAAGTCCAAAATGCCCCACTTTAAAAGCAATATCTAGAGTGGCACACTTTAAAATCAGCATTATGTTTGAAAGTTCATATATATACTATAAACATCCATTTAAAACATGACTTGAAAAAGTAATCTCTATAATATTTGAACCTTCAGTGAGCAAAATGACATGCAGAGGTTATCAAGCCGTCCTGAAAAAATGAATTCCTTAGCAGCTCCAGCAACAACACTTGGTTGAGTATCGCAAGCTTGCAATTCAAAATCACAAATGTCATTTGGTTCACACCCGAGTTTATTTGCAAGCAACTGGTGAAAAGAGGAAAGAAGACAATCACCAACAGTTGGACTCATAATCATCATAATACAAGCCAATACCCAAATTAAGAAAGTTACAAACTACAACTACTTGTGACAACTGTTGATAACACATATCATCCCAAAAAAGAAAAGCAACTGAAATAGTAGTATCAAAAATGCATTCTGAGTTTCAAAGTGTTGTTAACCTGTAGAAGAAGAAGGTGGTGCTTTGTATTGCTGGTGTCTGATTTATCATTTGATTTCTTTCCATCAGTTTGATTTCCACTTTCAACTGGACCATTTTCAGAGGACACTTTATTGACCTCTCCCTGCAAGACAAATCTCAATGAATGTGTAAAAGATCAATCCCAACAATAACACTGAATCTGAATAAGCATTGTTCGTAGAGGCTTTCCTTTTGTCCTTCAATTAGCTACATATGAATTTCAATGTATACCTGTCCAAAACTATTGCATCGAAGATTTAAAAAACAACCACAATATTAACCAACTTTTAACATTGCATGCTATAAAGATTCAAAACTCCTTTGCAATGAAGAGTTGTTCTTATGCAATCAAATGCAACATTGAGGCAAAAAGAGAACTTTCTAGCCACATCCAATCACTCACATAGTAACTTGGAGAACCTAACTTCAAAACAAAAATAAATAATTTCATGCAGGACTTGACAGATTAAACCCAGACATCACAATAACAATAATTTCCATAGAATAATCAGTTACCCGCCAAAAACATTAAAGCAACAAGAATTGCACGATCACCTTTAGTGCTGTTGCCAATACGGGAAGAAGATGAGTCTGTGTGTTAAATTTGAATCCATCATCATTAACAGTCCTGTACACCACAAACCAACAGAAGAAAATGATAAATAGATAATGACAATCAAGCAAACAAAACAGGCAATGCATCTCAAAAGCAACAAAACCTGTCCAAGTGAATAGCCAATGTCGGGATCCGTATTATAGGCTCCTCAATTCTAACAAGGCGATGTGAGTATGATTCAGAACCTGCATTCTCTTCTCGCACAAGGACCCTCCCAGCCACAGTCAGGTCACGATCGAACCACGTATGCCACAAACCACCCCCATATAATTGGACACCAACCTCCAAAATTCCACCCTTAACAACCTGCCAAAACATCTTCCTAATTAAAGATCTCTCACATCATATACAAGAAATGACACATTCATTTCTTGAATTAGTAGTTGTTATTACTTTTGTTAAGATATAAAGTCTCACGTTGGTAGGTTAGCAACAAGTAAATGTAAGAAGGTCTCAAGTCTATATTGCCTATGACATTTTAGACAAGTATGTCATTCAAAGCTTAAAATCAAACACTCTCCCTCGCTATTGAATGGGGTCCACATTCCAAAATCTTATTATGGTATCAGAATTCAGATTAAAAAAAATGAAGGCAAAAAATAAAATCAAAAAATCAAGAAAAAAAATTAAACCAGTGACATAAATTTTTTTTAAAAAAGGAGCACAGATCCAGTTGATAAAAGGAAAAAAATAAAAAAGACCTGAGGTAGGCACAAAACTTGAAGTTACAACTTACAAGATCAGACTGAAAAAATAACAAAGATTAAAAATGCAAGTCCCAACTAGTGGGGGTGGGTTAGCAAGTAAAGGGTATATAGGGAAGAGAGTCCCAAGTCTAAATTAGTTAGGACATGTTAAATAAGTGGGTTACTCACGCTTAAGCTCAAATACTCTCCCTCAAAGTTGGATGAGGGTGGTTAGCAAGTAAAAGGTATATAAGGAAGAGGATCCCAGTCTAAATTAGCTAGGACATGTTAGATAAGTGGGCCATTAATGCTTAAGCACGAACACTCTCCCTCATTGTTGTATCGGACCCACATACTAAAATTTTAATAACTAATAATAGTTACCTTGGTGACGGGCTTCAGCTTCAAAGAAGGACTATCCGTGTGAGCCCCAATTATGTGGAATCCATTTCCAGCAACGTACCTGGGAAGTTGAACAAATGAGACAATGTTAATTTCGTGTTCATATGTTAAAAAGATGGGAATAGAGTGAACCTTTTGCCGATAGCGAAGGCGACAATGGTGGAGTAGTTTCTGGTGAAGAAGTACTTGTTGCCGGGTTGCAGTTCCCACACTTCCCTCTCCGAGAGTTGTTCGAACCCCGCGCTTCGCAAACGCTTCTTCGCCTCGTCTGAAACGTGAAAAATGAATCAACGGTGAGTGAGTGAGTGAGTTGGGATTCGCGATTCTACTGAGCGAAAAGGGGTGAGTTGGGTTAGATATTACCGACAGCGTGGAAAGCAGTGGGAGAAGCGTTGAGGAAGTTGATGAAATCGGAAACTATGTCGGGGCTCTCTTGCTTCGCCATTGCTTCTTCAGATTCTAGTTCTACGTTGACTCTCGTCTCTCTATAACACCCTACACTGTTCTATCTGTGTGTGACGTTCGTCAAGCAACAAAAGATAAATCACATGCTCGTACAAAGTATAATAAATAAATATCTTCTCTTTGAATCCTCGTCGTTATTTATTAATTTGAAAAGGATGACCTGGAAACATATTCAGCACGTTTCTCACATTTCCGATCTGGACATTTCTGTGATTACCTACTATACTTCTTTAGAGACTTTTCATATCCATTTTATTTTTATATTTCATTAAAATTTTCCATTTAACCCAATTCAAATTTAGTCTGTAATTTGATTGAGACAAGTTATCACATTGGACTCAACAAAGTGTTAAGCTTAATCTAAACTAAAAGCAGATTAATTTTATTTACTAGCATGGACAGAGTTCAAGCGTCTTAGCAAGAACAATAAAAGAAATAAAGGAACTATAAATATTCTAACTTGCTAGTAGTTTTAAAAGATATTTACAGAGGTAGCGAGTTTCGTTGAGATCAACTGCTTCAAAATCTTATCTCCCATTCTTTATCATTTGTTTTGCCATGAAACTTACACTTATGCTACTGATAGCTCAAAAGCAAAATCCAAAAGAAATTGGATAATCTTACTATCATTCAATTTGTTACAAGAAGTAAGATAAAAATATCTTTTTGAAAACCTTCTAAATATTGTGAATCATTGATTAAGATTGGATGATTAAAAATAAAAAATAAAAAATTAATTATTCAAGTTAAATTTATAAAAAAATATATTGATAATTTCATATATATGTTAATGTTTTTCTTCCTTATTCATCTTCCTCGTTCTCTTTTTTTTTCTCTTTTGTCTTCATCCTTTTTTTCCTCTTTCATTCTGATTTTATCATTAAGCTACCATAGGAAGATAAAAGTAAAGAGAAGCACGCAGAGAGGTGAATCCACTTTTAAAAATCAATTGCACTTCGCAGGTGTTACAAACCCCTCCTTATCAAGAATATTATTCCGAAACAACTAATTAAGTTAGAAACTTTCTATGCTTTTTGAAATGTTCCACAATTTCTTCTAAATAATTACTCTACTGCTTTATATTATTATCAAAAGCACTAACCTTCAACCATTGCAAATTAGTTCATGGTTTTAGTTTTCTAAACCTTTACTCGTTCAAAGCACAATGATATATTGTTTTCTAAATAAAGGAGTATATTTAGTGACTCAAAATAAATGAGAATATGAAATATTTAATAGGGTTCTACCCATCGTAGAGAAAAAAACATGGAGCCGCTAATAACATTCCAAAAAATCAATAAAACAAAACATTTGCGTGCAAAATAGAATGTGGATAATGAAGATAGATGGATCACATTATGTTCATAAACAGGCCATGAGTTCTAAGAATTGAATTTATAGTAAATGTCATGAAAGATGAGATGGATTTTATGGACCATAACAAAGTCTAGAATCTCATTGAGTTGCCTAATGGTATAAAAGCCATTGGATGTAGATGGATCTTTAAAATAAAAAATGACGTACAAGACAATATTGAGAGACATAAGGCAAAACTTGTCACTAAAGAGTTTACTGAAAGAAAAGGAATCAATTATAAGAAAACTTTTTCTCCTGTGTCTAAGAAAGATTCTCTTCGAGTAATTATAAAATTGGTAGCTCATTTTGACCTTGAGTTACATCAAATGGATGTAAAGATGACGTTCCTCAATGGTGATTTAAAAGAAAAGGTTTACATGAAACAACCTAAAAGATTCTTTTCTAGTAACGGTGAGCATTTATTTTGCAAGCTTAATAATTCATATATGGATTAAAACAAACTTCCCGCTAATGATATTTAAAATTTAATAAAGTTATATCTTCATTCAGTTTTGAAAAAAACATCATGAATTAATGTATATATCTGAAGGTTAGTGGGAGTAAATTTTTTTTTCTTGTTTTATACGTGGATGATATTTTACTTGCGACTAATGATAAGTGCATGCTATATGAAGTAAAATAATTTTTCTTAAAGAACTTTAATATGAAAGATATGGGTGAGACATCTTATGTCATAAGCATTAAGATCTAGAGAAAAAGATCTCGAGACATTATGAGTTTGTCTCAAAAGACCTATATCAACAAGGTTTCAGAGAGGTTTAACATGAAATATTGTTTCACCAAATATAGCTCCTATTGTGAAGGATGATAGGCTTAAATTGAGTCAGTGCCCAAAAAATGACCTTGAGGGAGAACACATGACAAATATTTCATATGCTTTAGTAGTTGGAAGTATTATGTATACCTATGTTTGCACTAGACCTGACATTGTATTTGCAGTTGGAGTTTTGGAAAGATATCAGAGTAGTTCAGGTATTAACCATTGGAAAGCTACAAAGAATGTAATGAGATATCTTCAAGGAACAAAGGATTAGATGCTTATGTACAAAAGAACTAATAATTTGGAGGTGATAAGCTACTCTGATACAAATTTCGTTGGTTGCATTGATAATAGGAAATTTACATCTGGTTACATTTTTATACTAGCTTGTAAAGTTGTATCTTGGAGTAGTGCGACACAAACCTTGACTACTACTTCTACTATGGAGACTAAGTTCGTTTCTTGTTTTGAGACTACCTTACATGATGTATGGTTGACAAGTTTTATATTTGGGCTAAAAGTTGTGAACTTTATTTCTAGGCCATGAAGTTGTACTTTGACAACTTTGCTGCAGTATTTATGGCTAATAATAACAATAGTGAAAGTTGAAGTAGACACATCGACATTAAATATTTATCTATAAGAGAACGTGTTAAGAGAAAATAAGTAGTAATTGAGCACATTAGCACTGAGTTGATAATTCTTGATCATTTAACTAAAGACATGCCACCAAAGAATTTTAAAGATTATGTGGCACGAAATGGACTTGGTTCCATGATATGACAATTATTATAGATACTTTTATTATTTTGATAAGATTCTTATTTAGTTTTGATGTTTTCTCATTTGTTTTGTGCATATATTTGTTTATTTATTTGAAAATGTCATTTAATTTTGACCTTAAATGAATATGTGATTTATTCATTAAGTTGAGAGTTAGTATTGAGAGACTTGATATATTGTAATACATGAGAGATAATATTCACCATTAGATGAACTATCACATCACTATGATTCATATATTTATTTTCTTATTATGGTTGATAATGAGATAAATGGATCAAAGGGAAGAGTGTTAGCATTCTTTGTCAATTTGAGTTCCTATTTTTTAGGAACACAATGTGATTCATCTATCTTCATTATCCACATTCTATTTTGCATGTAGATGTTTCATTTTGCTGATTTTTTGAAATGTTGTTAGTAGCTCTAAGTTTTGGACTTTGATGGATAGAACTTTATAAATATTTCATATTACTCCATCTGTCTCTCAATAAGTGACGTTTTGGAAGGAAAAAATGTCTCACAATATTTGACATTTCAGCATCTGAATGATGCATTAACTTATTTTTACCCAAAATACCCTTTAAGCAACTTTTCATATTTCATTTTGTTGTACAATAACAATTCTTAATAATAGCAGTTGAAAGTTTTCAATGTATAGTTCTAGCATGTGCTCGATTGATGCACATATAGAAATAGGACTGCACCTATTGTTAGGACAAAACTTGAATTATGGTATTAATTAACTACTTTAATTTTTTTTTGTTACTTAAATTATTTTTGCATTTAATATTTTTATACTAATAATTTTCTTTAACATGGAGTACATAATTGTAATTTATTTACTTTTGTAATTCATCATAGAGATCTGTATCTTCATAAATTTTATTATTATCATCATTATATTTTTCTTCAAAATTTAATTTATAAATGTATTCAAATTTTTTCTTATATGTTATTAGGAGAAAATGTTAACAATGACATAATAAGTTTGGATTTACCACAAATTCATAGAGGTCTTGCAAAGCAAAAACATTTGAACAATTCTAAGAGAAGAATCATATATGAGGCTTGATTAAATAAGAGTGTTGATGGAAAACTAAAAAAAAAAAATCACTAAAATGGTGGCGTCATAGTTTTTAGTTTCTACATGCACTGTTCAGCAATTTTAGAAACAAACTAAAAATAAGGGTGTGTATGCTAATTTGTCCCACAAAAGACAAGAAATTGTGGCCACAAGAAAGTTAAACTTGATTTAGCTCAAATTCGTGAGATCCTTTTGCACTAAAGGACAATTATTAAGTCTCTTGAGGATCTCACGAATTTGAGCTAAATTAAGTTCAACTTTCTTGCGGTCACAATTTCTTGTCATTTTGTGGGACATATTAGCATGCACACCCTTATTTTTAGCTTGTTTCTAAACTTGCTCAACAGTGCGTGTAGAAACTAAAAACCGTGACTCCACCATTTTAGTGATTCTTTTTTTTTTTTTAATTTTCCATCAACACTCTTCTCTAACAAAGCCTCATATATGATTCTTCTCTTAGAATTGCTCAAATGTTTTTGCTTTGCAAGACCTCTATGAATTTGTGATAAATCCAAACTTGTTATGTCATTGTTAATATTTTCTCCTAATAACATATAAGAAAAAAATTTGAATACATTTATAAATTAAATTTTGAAGAAAAATATAATGATAATAAAAAAATTCACAAATATATAGATCTCTATAATGAATTAGAAAAGTAAATAAATTACAATTATGTACTCCATGCTAAAGAAAATTATTAGTATAAAAATATTGAATGCAAAAATGATTTAAGTAACAAAAAAAAATTTAAAATAATTAATTAATACCATAATCCAAGTTCTGCCCTAACAATAAGTGCAGTCCTATTTCTGTATGTGCATCAATCTCAGCATCATTCTCCATAGATAGTTCTTTAGGTAAGTTCAATAATAGACAATTACTTGAAGAATCTTCAAACAAAGCATATGAAATTTCATACAGGTCACCATCTACATCGAGTTGATCTAAATCAAATGCCATTTCAGTTAGACATGATGATTCTATATCTTCTGGTTAATTCAAATTAAACATCATTTGAACTGGAGATGATGACAAGAGAGAACTTAGAATAATGTTAATGTTGATGTCAGGATTTGAATTTTCTGGTGTATCAATATTTTTTGGTAAATTAGTGCATCAATATTTAAACCTGAATGTGTAAATTCAACATTCAAATCTAAATTAAGTAATGGTAATTTATGCTTTGAACCTATGTTGAAAGGAACAATGACTCTTTTGATTTTGTGAAAGTGGATGAAGAACAATATATAGTGGAGTTACCTAGTGGTCACCTCTAAATTTTGGCGGAAGCACAAATCCTTAAACAAATTTCAGATTAAAAATTTTTTGTGGCAAATAAATTGTTTGATGAAGATACATAGGTATAATAGAAAGTTAGAAATAAAAATAAGGAAATTAATTACATTTCTTAATTTGTGTGAAAAAACCTTAAAACGGAGCAAGTATCATTTATTTTGAATCACTAAATCTGCTCCTTGATTCAGAAAATAACACACCATTTCCTTTATTGAGAAAACAACACACCATCTACTTTAAGCGAGTAAGGGTTTAGAAAATCAAAACCACATATTGATTTGCAATGGTTAATGATTTGTGTGTGTGCATTTCCTTCAATAATTCTGATTTCTTGGTTTAGTCTTTGTAGTCTGGATTAGGCTTCTTTAAGACAAAGGACATTTCAAATTCGTATGGCTATGGTCCCCATTATTACAGAAAAACAGCTGAGGCTGACATATTTCACCTTTCAGATTCTCCAACAGCCACAGAAGGCAGAACGAATAGTAATGTTCTCCTTGAATGCTATACGATTGGATACTCGTGCCTATAATCTTTTTTTCTTTACTCCCTACAACATTCTATTTTTCCCATCTTGTTATTCAAATCAATGCCCAAGTGCCCTGTGCACGAGTCTTCTACTTGTGGGGTCGAAAGAGGGCCATATGTAAAGCCTCGTGAACAGAGAGGGTGCTTTCATGATTGGATCACATTATGATTATAAGGGAGCAATAGTACTGTGATAGTCAATGCCCCTGAATAAACACGTTTTTGAAATACAGACTGTTGAAAGAATTATATTTCTATGGCTATATGTTTTGTAATTAGAGTGCGAGCCTTGACGGTAGGGTTAGATTGCTTTCTTATGACTTGGAGATCACAAGTTCAAATCTTAAAACAGCCTCTCTCCACTTGCAGGGGCAAGGTTGAATGCATTCAACCTTTCATAGAACGTGGAGCGAATGTAATTAATTATGTTCTATATCTGGTACTGTGGAGCGAATGGAATTCTTTGCAGCATCCCGTTGCTTCTGCATTATTAGCTGCACTTTAAAGTGACAATAGCAATGAAGAAATGAAAACTAAAATGCGAGTCAGATTCCTTTACCCATCAGATCTTCAGAACTTTTCCAGATCCTATGCATGAGTGTTCAAATTGAAAATAAAATGTAATATATTGGGCACAAATCCTATGCATGAGTTCTAACCACACTTTCAGCTGATCTTAACAATACCCTCCTTATCAAAGCAACAACGGACACACATTTAATTTGAGTGAAGCAAGGAAGTGAATATATATTCACTGGTATAAGTGCAGCGCTATTAAGCAATTCATGACAGTAGTCATATGATAATCCAAACGTCATATTTGCTAAAGCAAAAATATACAAAGTGGTTATGTATGGACTGAAATATTAAACTAGTCTTTCTATTACGACTATCTGATATTAAAAGCGGGGGAGGGGGAGAGGGCACCTTCTATGCACGACGTAATGGAATCAAGCTCAATGAATGAGCATGTACTGTAGGATTGAACATGCATTGTGAATTCAGATCCTGAAAGGAGCAGGCTTTAGCCATCTTGTTATTCTTAGTGTCATACAGGTAAAAATTTGGACCTATCTTCATTAGCATGATCCCATCTTTGAAGGCCATAGGATTCATCCATTGGCCAAAATCCATGCTCGCTTGCTCCAACACTCGGTTCTTCAAATTAAAAAAGAAGCGTGGACATTCTCTTTCAATTTCATCCAAAGATTTACAATGGCTAAGTGTCCACTTGAACTCATAGTAATCTTCAAGATACCACACATGAATACCCTCTTCTGATGCCTGCACATAATTCAGCCTCCCTTCAGATTCTCCAATGCATGCTTCAGGAACAATCCGAAACTCTGAGCCTGGGACTGGCACAGAAATCAACCAAGCTAGCTCCTTCTCTACATCGAAAGTCAGAACTTGATCACCATCCATGAGCCAATGCAAGACACCCCCAGTGTATATCCCTTTATTATTAACCAACCTGTTATCACATCTGCATATTTCCTCAGATTTCCACCATGCTCCTCCTTCACTTGAGTACAATTCAAATGTAAAGTACAAATCATCACTATTTTCAATCTGCTTAACTCTCACCAACTTGAATCTGTTGAGGCTGTCAATGGAATCTTTAGAAGGGTCAAAATCAAAAGCCAGTGCGATGCTTTCATTTCTGTCATACTCATAACCAGAAGGCGGCCAGTCCAACTTAATCCACTCCCTATTTGAAGGGTTGCAGACATATATAACTGGCTTTTTTTCAGAAGGGATAGTGCTTCGACAGCACACTAATCCTTTGCATGATGCCAACACGACAACATCTTCTGGGAGAAAATCGAAAACCATGTGGTGCACTTTGGAACACCCTCTTGTCCCAGCATCATCAACAGGGATGTAACTAACGGTTGCGATGTCTTCCTTGCACCACATGAACTTCTCTTGGTAAATGAACCCCGTTAAGAAAAGCTCTCTGTTCTTTCCTAGTTGTGCGATACTGAAGGAGCGGCTTGAAATGATGCCGTGCCACTCTTTGGAAACGCACTTCAAACCAAGCAAGTCCTTCACTGGAATACGTGAAAGAATATCGAAGAGAATGTCACTGTTTAGAAGCCAATGACTTTGAGCATGAACCTTCTTCATTTCTGGAAAAATAAAATGGCTATAAGACTGAATTAATTAAATAAATAACACACTGCACATAAATACTTCAATTTACGATGTAACAAAAGAATTGTTAATTATTATTCTTTGCTAAACTGACTTGAGACATGCTGATTATGGCGAGGAATAACACTATTAAAATGTAGAGGGAGAGGATAAGAAGAATTTGACATAAGAAAGAGACAAAAATTTCATATAGCACACACATGAAAAACAAAAGAAAAAGAAATGTGATTCCGTCACCAAGAACAGAGTATTATTACAGGGAGGCTTAAAAATAGTAACAAAATGAATGAACAAGAAACCAACGGAACAGTGTAATGGCAAAGTTCTAGATAAAAATATACCGAACTAGAAAACTGAGGTAAAACCTTACTTGAAGCAATAAGAATGTTGATAGAAAAGGAAAATGGAAGAGACGGTGCTTACGCGGAAAGCTTTTATTTAGAAGGAAAATATATGATATTGTTAGTTAGAGAAGGGAAACGAAGAGACACAGTTTTTTTGGCCCACTCCACGCCGTAACTAACTTTGCAGACAGAGTGCGGTAGTGTGTGCCTACGGAGAGTTGTGGTGAGGCTTGCAAAAAGTAAGAGAGAGAAAGGACATTACATGGTTTTTTGTGTAGTATGGTGAATGAGGTTTATATTACGATGTGTGTTATTTGCACCTTATTAACATATTTGGAAACTTCATTCATTCCGAATCCAACGGCTTGAGTTGCACGAATAGGAAGAGTCGCGTGTTTCTGCAAAATGACGATAGGCTCTGAAAGTGTATGTAGATAGCACCATCTTTTGTTCTATTCACGCGTCAAGGCTAAGAAGACTTTTCCGTTGGCTTGTGGGTGTCGACAGGAACGGCGACGAGACCAGAGTCCTATGTTTTCACGTTCATTATTTTTTATATTTTTCTTTTAATATTTCTGTTTTTTTCTTTTTTCCTTTTTCGTCTACTTATTCCACCTTCCACACACACGTATGTATTACTCTTCCAAAAACATTTAAAAATCGGAAGTGCAAAACTTGTTTTTTTCTAAGACGTGTCAGTTTTTAATTAGAGAGATAGATTAAGCAATTAAAAGCAGAGAAACGCATTTACAATATTAATTTTATGAATGTTATCATGCAAAAGAGTTCCCGAAAGAATTTTAGACACAGGGAAAATATAGAGAAAAGAGATATTGAATATAATGTGAAATATAATGTAATTAAATATTTTATATATTTTAACTAATTCATTCTTCGCTGGTAAAGATTATATACCTCAACAATGCTTAAAATAATGGAATTGAAAGCGATATCCCTATTTTAAACACATCTAAGATTTGGAAATGCACAAAATAAAGTAGAAGACTTTTCTTTTTATCTCTTCATTTAATATTTTTTAGACAACTAGTTAATTATACTTTTTTCATTTAAAAACTTGTAGTTTCAAGCAATATATCAATTTAAATTCTTTTAATTATATATATGTTGTATAAAAACAAAAAAAAAAAGCAGATCAAAATAGAACTCAAGAACTAATCAATGTTGACACAAGATTTTTTTTTTAGAAATTAAAAATAATCATTTATTTACACTAGTATATATATATGTGTGTGTGTGTGAAAAATGATTTTCTTACACCGGTATAAGTCTAAAAACTCGTATACTTAATTTAAACATTTCATTTAACTTACATCTAACAGTTAATAAAGTAATAAATTATAACCCGTTAAATATAGATTAAAGGAAAAGTTCAGATTTAGTGTAAGAGTTTTTAAATTTACATCAGTGTACGAAAATCCTATCCACATATATATATATATATATATATATGTATGTATATATACACTTTGGAGAAATGTTTTTGTGCACAAGACTACAAAGGTGTACAATTTATTTTGGTAGATTTAAGGGAAAAAAAATAAGGATGATTAAATTTCAGAGGTGTGTGGAGTAAAATATTGCCGATTTTTGGGTAATATATACAAATCAAACACATAACAAGCCTACAAACTACTGACATTCACAGTGGTAGAGTGGGGCGACTTAGTACACCAATCTCGTGCATATCTGAAAACGCACCTAATATTTAGGGATGGCAACAGGCTAGGCTCTTTGACAAGGGCCTATGGCTTGACCTGGTTTAGGCCTGACCTTTTTAATAAATAAATCAAACTTAGGCTTTTTTTAAGGCATGTTTAAGTAAATAAGTCAAGCCTGAGCTGTTTATAAAGCATGTTAAGCCTAACAGACCGGCCTGTATAAATATATATATATAAATATAAATATATATATATATATATATTATATAATTTAAAAATAGAGCTGTAAAAATATATTTAAATAATTAAGTTATTTAATAATATAGTTTTTATATTCTTAATTCTGTTATTATTAAATTAATATATTATGTTATACTTTTATTTATTTATAATTATAATAAACAAAAATTATATTCTATTAAAAATTAAAAATATTTATACATGATTACACTTTTTAAATAATAAATTTATTTAATAATAAATTATTACTTTTATTATATTTAAACAATTTAAAGAATAGTTAAGTCTTTGAACAAGAATAAGATGTAATCAAAATTAACGAAATAAAATTTAAAAATAAAATAATAAAATTATATTAACATATTTTTTATACTCTTAATTTTATTATTATTAATTTAATTATTTAATTATTATATTAATATATTATATTATAATTCTTTTTATTTATAATAAATAGAAATTATTTAAATCTAAATTATATTTTATTTGAAAGTAAAAATTTATTAAAAAAATAATAACAAAATAAAATAAAAACATATTATAATATATATTAATATATATATAATCATACCATATAACAAATAATATAAATAATATAATTATAAATAAATTATATAATAATATTTATTTTTGTAACTTGCACGTATTTTAATTAAATTATTAGTTAATTTATCAATTTATATGTAATATATAAGTATATGATTTAATTTATTATATTAATAATATTTTTTATATTACATTAATGTTATAATGTAGTTAATTTTATGTTTATTTGTTAATTTAAAATAACAAATTAATGATTTTTTTTATATCAATTTTATGTTTTTTTTTTATCAATTTTATGTGTTTACTATAACTTTATTTGTTGAGTATAAAATGTCTTTAAACAAACAAATATGTTTCTACAATAAAACTAAAATATTTACTATTTATATAATTTTTAAAAGATAAATCAAGAAAAATATAAATATAAAATACAATATTTATAATTAATACTTAAATAATATTTTAAAAATTATTTATAAAATTATATAAATATTATTATAATTATTTAATAATTATTAATAACATAGATAAAAATTAGAAAGATATATAAACTAATTTGATAATAAAATATTTATATTTTTATTATTAAATTTTTTGGTAATATGCTTTGTTAACAGGCTTCAGGGCAGGTTAAGCCACTTAAACAGGTCAGGACATAAAATAAAGTCTTTAACAGATAACATATCAGGTTCAGACCTAATAATTATGTTACAGGCTATGCCTGTTTAGAGTAAAGTCTGACCATCCCTACCAATAGTTTTGAGCAAGATAGATTAGACAATTTAGAGGACTACAAATTATATCAGCTAAAAATCCATCAATCAACCTTGTATTATAAATAAAAATTAAGAAATTATTATTTTTTCATGATTCACGACATATATATTTTAAAATAGTAATAATTTTATTTTTATTTTTTATTCATATATCAATTTCATTTTTTAATTTTAAAGATTAAAATATTATTTAACTTTTTATACTACCTTATATAAATTTTTATTTTTTATAAATATCTGTTTTTATATTTAACAAAATTATCTTTATTTTGTTATTTTTTTCAAATTTAAAATGTACTTTTAAGAGTAAAAATAATTTTTTCAACAATACACAATAAAAATATTATTTTAAACTAAATTATATTTAAAAATATTTAATTTGATTAAATCTTTATTACTTTGATACATATTATTTATATTTATAGAATTAAATATAAAACTTTATTCTTTAATTATTAAATTATATGTTTATTTATTCTAAAGAAAATGTCGGGACATTGTACGGCTACTTAAACTAGTTCCCTTGATATTCCAATCGTGAGATATAACATCAATACCTTCTAAAATAAACGTCTCCTAAATAAAAGAAAATGTTGAACGCGTTAAGTGCCGCTCTCCATGCTTTTCTTGATCACAATTTGGATGAACCACTAGATAGAGCATAATCAACTAATTCTCTTCTCAAAATTTTGCCAGCAGCAGATTTTGGGATAGAGTTAATAAAAGAGACTCGTCGTATCTTTTTGTATGGCGAAACCTGCAAAAATATGCACGCTTCAGCAACATGGCAAGAGGAAAAGAGAAATGTTCGCAACATATTCTTCAATAACTGATCTATTTTTTAAAAAGCTAATATATTGGTCCAGTAAATTAATCACTTTTTTTAAAAATAATGATCAATTACAAGAATTGTGTAAAAAAATATATCTAAAAGAGAGTGTTTTTAGTGTTTCTCTAAGAGAAAAAACTCAATGTTAATAGGAATATCTATTAAAGTCAATTGTAGTAGTAGGTTTTATAAGCGTTTGTTACTGAATAGATAATTCATTCACCACATATATCCACATTTTAGAACAAAAGGGTTCTTCAGAAGTATACCTGCTTTGCTACAAATTCCATGACCTGATCTGCAGTGATGTTGCTTCCAGGTTTTCTTACTACAAAGGCCATTGGAATCTGTCCTGCATCTTGGTCAGGATACCTGTCCCCAAAAGATTAGCAAACTTAGTGAACCAAACATCTTACATGACAAAATGATATCTATTAAAGCAAACAAATCATAGGAACACCTTTATCTTTATGGCCAAAGATACAATAATTTACAGTTCAAAGTAAATGTCAGTTTTTTATAAACCATCAACAAGCATTTATAGAAGAAAAAAAATAAAATGAATCAAGAAAGTAAAATGAATCAAACTTCACACATCATAAATTGAAATAAACTTATGCATTTTAACTTTTTCAGAAGCTTCCTCCTCTAACTTCTTCATAAATACCTATAAACTAAAAGGTTTTTTATTCTTCTTTTGTATCTTAGGAATTAAATACTTATCTCAACAGAAAATCACCCATAAAACTAATCCCAAGTGGGCCTAAGAAAACTTAAAATTGTCCCCATAGGAACTAGAATTGGGTAAAAGCTAGCAAACGTAAATCACTGTCATTGAAAACAAGTGATCTGCTTCTGAACATACACAGAAAGATTAAAGAACTAGATACATACGGAATTACTGCAGCATCAGCAATTTCAGGATTGGAGTGAAGTATATGTTCCAATTCAGCAGGGGGAACCTGGAATTTTGTTTGAACCAAATAAGAACAATGCAAAAGTAAAAGTAGTAAAATGATATCCACAAGAACCTGTAGGTGGAAATAACATCTCACCTGATAAGCTTTGTATTTTATCAATTCCTTCAATCTATCTACTATGTAAAGAAAACCATCAGAGTCAAAATAACAAAGATCCCCAGTCTTCAGCCATCCCTCTGAATCCACTGTTTCAGCAGTCGCTTTGTCATCTCCTACATAACCTGCACTGGCACCATAACAGCATAACCATCATACCATTCATGAAGCATATTACACTAGGCTATAATTATCATTTATTATTGTTTTGTTACTGTTAGGAATCATGATGATAAAAGACCTAAGGTTTCTATGCACATTTTCATTGCCTAATATTATGCAATAAAGCCCATAAAAGGACAAGCCTGCCTTCAAGCTAAGCTGGAAACACATTATCAAAAAATCAAAAGGAAATAACTAATTGCCAACCTTTCATGATTGTTGGACCTCGCAACCACAGCTCCCCTTTCTGGCCAGGAGGTAATGCCTCTCCAGTTACAGGGTCCACTATCTTGGCCTCCATATTTTCTGCAAGTCGACCCACAGAACCATGGCGCTTAGCCTCATCAAGACCCAACGTTCTTGATGCCCCTCCTCCACTTTCAGTCAGACCATAGCCCTAGGGAATAATAAAAATCATAATAGATAAAAAATCAAAATCCAAATTAAAAAAAAAAAAGGGAAAAGGAAAAGGCAAGTAGTTAAATGATGAGTATATAGATGAAAAAGTAAATATGATATCCAAACACACACAATTATGTGAACATATTCACATTATACTGGAGCTCGCTCTCTCAACCGGAGTGTTTTTTTTTTTTCATACACAAGACTGAAACTTCAGACCTTGCTTAAAGAGAATCAATCATGTACCATTTAAATTAACTAGTCGTCAGTGTATTGATTGATACTTTTGGAATAATACTCTGATTCTTTGAAAGGACAAAAATTACATGAGGCTCTATCTTTTCCTCCATATTCTTAAGATTATTTATAGTAAAAAGTAGACAATTATAGAGTTAGGACTTTCTTTGAACAGGACTAATTATGCTTTTTATGACATTTGAACGTGAGTAGCTGGTAAAAATGTGTAATTCTTGTGACATTCAGGGGAGAATATATTTTGTTAGAACAGGGAAAAGATATATAACATAATTTTTTTTTGCCATAATCACAAGTGTTTTTTTGTGTGAGTAAATTGTGAATGTCATCGACTAATATAGTCACATTAATAAGAAACGATTAATATCTCATTATAAATACAGTCCATTTATATATAATTTTTATTTTAAATTCAGGTTAACATATTTGAACCAAATCATATCCGGAATTTTAAATTTTTTTTTTATCCCTGTTTTCCTATGTGTGTGCTATTAAGTATTATAGCCTCCTAGAAAACTGCAAGTTCAGCATCATGCATTATAAAGATATAAAACGGGCACTGAGAAATGCATTTAGAGCTGGCAATACTGATTACACAGTCGATTCGAACCAGATTACACAGTTGATTCGAGCCAGCCCATTATGGGTGACAGACCTCAGTGAACAGGACAAAAAACTTGGAATTCAATTTGCGGTGGTTAAATAATTCCCAATGTATGATAAAAGATCAATTTTTTTAGGCTTATGGGGGACTAAGCTCACGTTAAGCTTAATTGGATGAGGTTAAACAATTCATATTTAAATTTTGCTCAAAATTTAAAATTTAAAATTTAAATCCTATATTTTATTGGAGAAATTCATACTGAGCGAGTTGGATGACTGATTTTGTAGACTAACATTATCTAACACACTATATTATTTATTAAAATTTATTGAAAACTAAAGAAATAAAAAAAAATATTAATTTCAAAGTAAAAAAGTTAAAGTCACGTAATTTTTATAAATTTTAATAAATTAAGTTAAAAAGTGTGTTAACGTAGCATTACTAATGCATTATACCCAAGTTAATGTAAAGCAAATCATTAAGAAGAAAAGAAAGAAAAGGTAATGTAAAGCAAATCATTAAAAAGTAGAAAAAGTTAATGTAAAGCAGAGTTCCCTTTCGGTGGTCATCAAACGGTACATCACGCTGAAGTCTCCGTTCTGAGTAGGACCTAAAAGGAAACCCCTTTTGAGTCCTACTGTCCTGGGATGGAAACAGCGCGATTAGATCGGTGAAAAAAATGGGATATTTGGAATCTGGATCTATTCTAATACGAATCGAGCAAATACTAGAATTTATAACATGAATTAAGGTGGGCCAATTAGCATTTAGATAACTTAGAAACAAATATTACCGGTTATATCCCAAACAACATGGTAATAATCCTAAGTAAAAACATAAAGAAGGTAACAGGAAAAATGTAACTTATTTTCTTCACCTGCACAATTTCGACGTTGGGGAATCTGGCGTTGAATTTCTCGGCCACCTCCTTCCCAAGCGGCGCGCCACCGCTACCCAGCAACCGGAGCGAGCTAAGATCGTACTTCTTCACCAATTCAGACTTCGCCAGCGCCACCACCAGCGGCGGCGACACCGGCATGTATGTGATCCGGTACCTCTCCACGGCCTTCAGCATCGCTTCAAAATCAAACCTAGGCATCACCACCAGAGTCTCCCCTATGGCTATGGCCCTAACCAGCATGAAAAACCCGAACACGTGGAACAGGGGCAGCGTGAACAACGACACCGGATGGGGATTCTCGTCAACCCCATCATCAACCATGTGCTTCAGGTGATAAAACCCTCCAATCAACGCGATGAAGTTCTGGTGAGTGAGTAGTACGCCCTTGACTCGCCCGGTGGTGCCGGAAGAGAAGAGAATGGCTGCTGAGTCGGATTGACTCAGTTCGACTCGGGGAGGGGGAGGGTGGTTGTTGTTTGCGTCGAGCATGGAGAGGAAGACGGGAGAGTCGAGGAGGATGGTGCCGAATCGGAGGGTAGGAATGTTGGGTGCCGTAGCAGAGGTGGCGAAGGCGATGGCGGGTTTGGCGAGTCGAACCAGGTGAGTCAACTCGGAGGGGGAACTGAGTGGGTTTGCGGGCGCGATGGTGACGCCGAGAGAGAGGAGGGAAAAGTAGAGTACGGGGACATGCAGGGAAGCAGGGGTGAGGATTAATGCCACGTGGCCTTTCGAGAGAGGGGTGAGGGATTGGATGGAGGAAGCGAGGGAATTGACTTGGCGGAGAAAGAGGGAGTAAGAGAGGTGGCGGTTGGTGGCGGAGTCGATGATGGCGGGGTTGTCGGCGGCTGCCGCTGCGGCTGCGTCGGGGAGGAGAGAGAGCACATAGTCGGTGAGGGAGAGAGGCTGAGACGGCGGAGGGAGAGGGACTTTTGGACGGAGGCTGTGGAAGGTTCTAGATTGAGAGCAGAAACCGTTGTTTGGGTCGATGGTGGTGTTTGGATGAGAGTGTGTTTGGTTTTGCGTGGCCATTATCAGTGGACGGTAATTTTGGATGATTGCATAAGAGAGATATGCTGGTATCAGATGTTGATGTTGGATACTAAGCTAATGCCCGCATAATTGCAGAATAATAGTTCATCTGCTTTATTAATTGGGGCTTGCATACGAATTGGAGAAGATTAAGCGTCCACGTTTTTAACATTCCTTAAAAACGTAAATGACGAGACAGGAATCTTTCAACGTGTTTTGTAAGTTCTCAGACAGTTTTTCGTTGGCCCAACATGTCTGTGACTTACATTATTATTAAAAAAGTGTATTTGTTTCAATTATCCCTAGAGAGAGATGGAGGACAAAGTAAAAATCATATACTTAAGAAAGAAGAGATGAATAATACATCAGCAATACATGTAGCATAAAAACAAATATTAACAAAATTAATATTTTTAACAAACAAAAAGATAACCTATTTAAAGTTCTTTTAAAGATTAAAGGATCAAAATGAATAAAAATAAAAATAAATATTAATGTTAGAGAACAAAATAATAATTTTACATAAATACTATCACTTGATATGATAAAAATAATAATTTAAAATGTTTCAATTTTATAATTAATATTCACAATTATATATACAGGTTAATAGTTTTAAATCATCCTACTTATTATATTTATAAAATATATTAATTATTAAATATTTTTATAAAATAAAAAACTCTTTTAAATAATATAATTATTTAAATTAAAAATAAATTTTTAATCTATTATATTTAATTCAAAGTTATATAAACTGTGAAGATTTTTTTTTATTAATTCAATCGAAATCATTGCGTTTAAATTCTAGTTAAATTGAATAAAAAAATTCAACTAGTAATTATTTTTATGCATGACACAAATATCATTAAATTTAAGTATTTTTTTAAAAAACTAATTAAAAATATATTATATAATTATTTTTTATTTTATTAAATTTTATAAAAATTAAATATTATAATTATTAATAATAACTATTTTACCATATTAAATATATATAATAATTTTTTTAACTAAAATAAAAATATTTAAATATATTATTGATCTTTACAAATATTGTCCATTTTGTGATAAATACTAATAAAAATTTTTGTTATAATTTAATCCTTAAAATGTTGAGAGGTTAAAATTTAATTTATGTCGTAAACCTCTTTACTGTTAAAAATTGACAAAAAGTTAGCTTATAATATTATGTTACTGTCACATTATTTTTTCAAAATATTTTATTTTTAAAATTAATATTTATAAATAATTTCTGAACATATTTTAAATATTTATAAAAAATTATTGCATCTCCTTGACATCTTTCTCATCTTAAATTCTCACCCCTCTCACCAAAGTGGTAGACAATGAAACTTGTTCCTTCTTTCTCCAAGGACTTGTGAAGCGTAAAAGTATGGTGATTATGAGGAAAGTTTAAGTGTTTATGTTAGTGTCAACCCACCGTTTAGAGAGTTCAGGGAGTAAAAGGCAAAGATGATGTAGGAGGGAAATTTTTTTCATTTTTAACTTTATAAAAAAAAAATTAGAGTTATGGTTGATATATAAGGGTTAATCTCTCGTATTCCAATGTTCTCCATCTTCACCACCAATCAAGCACTCTTTGATCATGTCACATCTTCCTTCATGCACATCATCAACTTTGATATTGGCCTTGGGATCCAATACGCTTCTTTCATGAAGGAGGTTGCGAAAAAGGAGAAATCATTATTGTTGGAGTCTTTGGATGCGTCAACGCTCTCAAAACCATGGAGTCCTTTCACCTTGGCAACCTCCTCGACCTCAATGTCCTCTGCTAGTTTCTATGTAACCACCATGTTGTTGCTTTGATTGGTGGTGCCGCTGCTCGTCTTGGTGACCCATCTAGAAAATTCCTTAAAAGGTCTGAACTTAAAAGCTAATGAGATGGTGTCAGTGTTAAGAATGAAGGTGTTTTTGATTCAAATATTCTTCCCATTTTAAGGTGCAGAGGTTCAAGATCATAAAGGGAGTAGTATAGGTATCCTTGTTAGCAGCCAAGAAGATGCCAGAATTGGGGGCATTTTTTAAATAACAAAGAACACAGAACGTTACTTAATGATGAGCAGATGTTTAATGTGAAACAAACTAACTGAGATGTTGAACCACATATGTGATGTTTGGACGAGTGGTAGTAAGATAGATGAGGTGACCTATTAAATGTCTATAAGCAGATGGATCCGTGAGGGGTGTACTAGAAGAAACATGGAGATGCGTCCAATAATCCATGGGAGTGAAAGTAGGGCGAGAAGTAAGCATTCCATTGTCGAAGAGTATGTCAAGAGCATACTTGTTGGCATAAATGAATACTTGATGCATTACGAGCAACTTCGAGCCCAAGAAAAAACTTCAAGTCACCAAGATCCTTGATCTTAAAAGTTCGATCAAGAAGTAAAGTGATATGAGTAATCTCATCAATATTATTACCAGCGAGAATAATATCATCGACGTAAACAAGAAGGGTTATATCTGTGGTCGTTGAGAAATTGAGAAAGAAAGAGTGATCAGACGAAGACTGCTTATACCTATGCAATAATAAAAAAAAAGGAAAGCCAAGTATACCATTGATGACTGGCTTGTTTGAGACTATAGATGGACCTGTCCAGGCTTGGGAGCAATCAATCCTAGAGGAAGTTGCACGTAAACTTCTTCATAGAGATCACCATGTAGAAAAGCATTGTTCACATGAGCTATTTGAGGTGTCAGTTATGAATGGCACCAAGGGCAAGAAGAAGACTAATAGTGGTGAGCTTGGTCACTAGGGAAAATGTGTCAAGGAAATCAAGGCCCTCAATTTAAGTGTAACCCTTGGCAACAAGGCAAGCTTTGTAACACTCGATGGTACCATCTATGTTATGTTTGACCTTGTAAATCCAACGACACTCAATTGCAGTTTTGTGAGGAGGAAGATCAGTGAGAGACCAAGTATTGTTTGCTTCAAGTGCAGTGATCTCGTCATGCATGGCTTTAAGCCAACAATCAATCTTGGAAGCCTCAGCATAGGACTTAGGTTCAGAGGTAGATGAAATGGACATAATATATTTGTGAAAAGATGGAGAAAGATGTTTATAAGAAAGAAAATGTTCAAGAGGATAACAAATATTTTTGGAAGAAGTGGTGCTAGTTGATGTAAATGCACTATGGAAATCCACAAGATAGGTTGGGGTTGATGAAAACAGGGTGACCGGCAAAGAGAAGGGAAAGTAGGAGCAAGTGTAGGGGCAGGGTGGAGAGAGAGATGATTATCAGAAGACTCAGTGGGTGGTGTAATATGAGGAGAGGTGGAGTTGTCTAAAATTTAATCAGTTGTAAAAGACGTAAGGATGGATAATGAAGAATTTGGAAAAGTAAAGAAAATGACTCTTGTAAAATAGGACATTAGGAGAAACTTCAAGAGCCCGAAATGCATGTTATAGACTATATACCCTTTTGTGTGTGGTTTGAAATCAAGAAAAATAGACGGATGAGCACGATGGTATAATTTCTTGCGATGAGCAGTGATAGAGCTTGTATAACACAGACGTCCAAAAATGCATAAATTAGAAATATCACATAGGTGGTTGTGCAGTTTTTCAGAAGGAGAAATATTATGCAAAAACAGAGTAGGAATGTAGTTTATGAGATATGCAGCATGTAAAAGAGCAAAACACCAAAAATTTAAGGATAAGTTAGACTGAAAAAGTAACGCGCGAGTAACATTCAAAAGGTGCTAGTGTTTGCATTCAATAATAGTGCTTTGTTGAGGAGTTTCAACGCAAGTAGTTTGATGCATGATACCTTTGGACAAAAAATATTAATGCATGGAAAATTCAGTATTATTATCAGTACGAATTATCTGAACTTGTTTATCAAACTGATTCTCTATTTGAGTAATGAAATTGATTAAAGCATGAGAAAAATCCAAGTGAAACACGTGTGATCATCCATAATAGTTAAGAAATATTTGTATCCATGCATAGAAGTTTTCGAACATGGTCCCCAAATATCCATATGTAATAGTTCAAAGGGTTGTAATGCATGAGAATGAATTAAAGGAAAAATAAGTTTTCTTTGTTTAGCATGATGACATGTGTTACAAGCAAACGTCTTATCACCAGACAAACAAGGATAATATTATTTCATGGACTGCATATGTTTATGAGAAATGTGACCCATACGGAAGTGCCACAAATCAATAAGTAGCTTGTTACATTGAGGGTGAACAATACTAGAATGCACGGAATGTGAAACAATAGGATTGGGAGCAAGTTGATAAAGACCACCATTTGCATCAATTGTACCAATCTTCTACCTGTTGTTTGTGTCCTATATGATGCATGAATGCAGAGAAAAAATCAATCCACATTTGAGGGAAGAAACTAATTTAGAAATGAAAATAAGGTTGAAGGTAAAACTAGAAATGTAAAGCACATCAACCAAATAGAAGGACTCAGTGAATTTGACCACTCCAGAATGGGTAGCCATAACATGTTGACAAGTGGGCAATTTAACTACAATGGGATCAATAGTTATGTATGATGAAAAGTTTGTTAACGAAGAAGATACGTGATCAGTTGCTCCAGAATCTAAGATCCATGGAGCCATGAGCGGTGTAATGGTAGAACAAGCAATAGACTTGCATGTACCTAAAGTAGAAGATGAAATTGAACCAATTTGGTTGACATGGGACGTGTTAAATGCTGAAGTTCCACTATTTAGTTGTTGTATTAAAGCTATCAAGGCTTGAAACTGCTGAGAAGAGAAGCAAAGATCTTGGTTCTCATGAGCCTGTTGTCGATCATTTTCAATGATTCTGCTATCACCAATCATAGTACTAATCACAAATGCATTCTTCGTGGTGTGAAACTTGTGCTCCACCGAGAAATCATGTTTGCAATAACAAACATCTATTGTGTGCCCATTTTTCCCACAATGAGTGCATATTTTTCCACTACGATTGAACACTCCTTTTATTCTTTGCATCATTATTTGAAAGAAACCCATTTGTGATAACAAACACTTTTATTGTGACCAGCACATTCACAATAAGTGCACGTAGACTAAGAGCGGGTTGTATTAATCATGATTTCTTTTGTATCTGGATTAACATGTGTCATGAAATTGTTTCCAAGAAGCTGGTGTTCTTGCTGTGCTACATATGAAAAAATCTTAAAAAGTGAAGGCAAACGATCCATGAGTAAAACATGAGATCAAACATTGTTATATTGATCATTTAATCCATGCAAGAATTGCATCGCTCAATCCTCCAATTTGTGTTGAACAATAACAGAAAGAACACTACATGAACATTTTGTAGTGCAAGTACAAGCCAAATCGGGTCTGAAATTTTCATGCTCATCCCAAACAACACGTAGTTTAGTGAAAAAACAATCACAGAGAGATCACCTTGTTTCATCGAGGAAGCTTCAAATTGTAAATCTGATAAGCGGAGGAAATCTCCTTATGAGTATCGTGATTTCAAATCCTTCTATATGTCATTGCCTTTTTCCATCTAAAGGATACTGTGACGAATTGAGAGAGAAACTGAATGAACAAGCCACGAAACTACTATATTGTTGCATGGACGCTATGCGGTGTATGTCGGATCAGATTTTGATGGTTGTGGTGTACTTGCATCCACAAATTTAACTTTGTTCTTGGCACTAAGAGCAGTTAACATTGATCGACTCCATGAATAATAGTTAGTTGAATCAAGCAATGGCGATATAAGGGCGGTTGTAGGATTTTCACTCGGATAAAAATAAAGATAACTATGAACATTAGGTGTGTGTTTCGATTGTTCACTCATAATGACGAAAATAAAGAAGAGAAAAATAAAGAATGATGAGTGCGCAGCATAGCTCTTCAGATGAAGAGCTCTGATAAATGCAATCCTATAAGGAGCAACGTAAGACAGAGAAGGAACTTAATGTGTATGAATGATCAACAATGGCTTTGTTATCTTATTATTGAAGAGTAAAATGGTATATATTCAAATGATGTAAAATAGATTAACAAAAATCAATTACGGAAAGATTAACTAATAACTAACAAAAAAACTAACTATAGTTAAGAGGTTGGGTGGGGAATGGTGGGGGATAGAGAGGGGGCTCTTTTGAAAGTGGTGGAACTTGAACTCGAAGTAACAATTGTTGTTCCTGTTAAAACTTAGTCAATGTTCTTGTTTCTATTAGTTGAATAAATTCATGATTTATTGGAATTCTAATTTGTTTTTATTTAGTATTATCTTATCAATAGTAGGTAGACGTTAGGAACCTATTTCTTTATTAATAGCCATTGCTTGCATTTTTAATGACATTAGATTCTACTAAAAATTCACTTTTCATGATTATACAATATTCTCCTTAACATTCGGTATCAAAACCCCCATAGAGCTTGGTACAATTAGAAGCAACAGTCTTTTAGAGAAAAGTTTAGCGCATGGCAACGAAAAGTTCTTTGTACAACCAACGATTCCAAAGTTTGATGGGCATTATGATTATTGGACTATACTCATGGAAAACTTCTTGCAGTCAAAGGAGTATTGGAACCTGGTGGAAAAAGGAATTTTTGTAGCAACAAAAGGTATTGCTCCCATGTATGCACAAAAAAAGCAAATTAAAGATTATAAGTTAAAGGATTTAAAAGCCAAGAACTATATATTCCAGGTATTAGATTGTTCAACCTTGGAGACTATCCTCAACAAAAATAACATATAAGATTCTATGAAACAAAAATATCAAGGAACCACACGAGTTAAGCATGCTTACCTACAAGCGTTACAAAAGGAAGTTTGAAGTTCTGCACATGAAGGAAGAAGAGTCTGTGAATGAGTACTTTGCTCAAACACTTACCATAGCTCACAAGATGAAAGCTAATAGCGAGGAGAAAGGGGACACTGTTGTTGAAAAAATTTTAGAATCACTGGTTTCCAAGTTTGATTATATTGTTTATTCCATCAAGGATTCCAAAGATACTAGTAGTTTGCTTGTACATGAGCAATATATGAGTTTCAATGATGATGAAGAACATGCACTAAAGACAGTTCATGAAGGTAGGGGACATGGACAAGGTAGAGAAAAAGGAGAGGGTAGAGGTAGAGAATGCTTCAACAAAGCTATGGTGGAATGCTATAATTATCACAAACTTAGGCATTTTCAGTGGGAATGTCAAGCAAAGAAAAAGAGGAAAATTATATAGATGTAGAAGCACATGAAGAGGTCTTGTTCATAACATATTTGAATACTACTGGAGGAAACATGGAAGATACATGGATTTTAGACTCGAGCTAAAGCAATCATATGTGTGGAAAGGAGGAATATTTTTCCTTCTTTGATGAGAATTTCAAAGACTATGTGAAACTTGATAATAATTCCAATATAGCTGTAATAAGCAAAAGAAATATACGATTAAAGGTGAATGAAAATGTGTAGATCATTACAGGGGTGTTTTTATGTACTAGAGTTTAAAATTAATCTTCTTAGTATTGAGCAAATGTAAGAAAAAGGCCTCACCATTTTATTTCAACAAGAAAAGTGCAAGGTGTTTCATCCTGATTAAAGCTTAATCATGGAAACTAAGAGGAATACAAATCAAATGTTCATGTTATATGCCACATCTAATCCCATACCATCCATTTGCTTCATCAAAACCATACAGAATGAAATGCACCTTGGGCATTGCAAATATAGACACCTAAGCTATAAAGGCTTATAGATTCTTCAACAGAAAAATTTGATGGATGACTTGCTGTTAATAAAATCTCCTTTGAAGCTATGTAAGAACTGTTTAGTGGAGAAGTAGTAGCAAAATTCCTTTCCAAAGAAGAGCACACGAAGAGCCACTAAAAATTTGCAGTTAGTTCATGTTGATATTTGTCGACCAATCAAGCCTACCTGCAACAACAACAAAAGGTATCTAATTACCTTTATTGATGATTATAGCAAAAAAAAAAAAAACTGTGGGTTTATCTTTTAATAGATAAATCAGAAGCCTTGCCTATCTTTAAAAGCTTCAAAATCCATGTTGAGAAGGAAGTAAACTTGTTTCTTAAAGTCTTGCGAATAGATCAAGGAGGTGAGTTTACTTCACAAGAATTCACAAATTTTTGTGTTGTAAATGAAATACAAATACAACTCAGAGTTACTTACACCCCATAACAAAATGGAGTTGCAGAATGAAAAAATAAAACTATTATAAATCTGGTTCTTAACATACTTTCTTGAAACACACTTTTAATTTGTTTTTAATGCAATTTGAGATTAAACACTTTAATGAGAACGTGTAACTTTAAGTTTTTGAATGAGTCAATTTTCTTTGATCTTATCAAAAGATCAAGACTTTTATGACAATCGTTCCTTTAACTTATTAATCTTGTGATTGTGGTGTCATCCTTCATCTTTATTCTATTTTTGTTTTTATTATTATTTTTCTTATCGTAATTCCTAATTTTACTCTAATAATTCTACTTTTTTTTGTTGTGTGCAATCTAATTCAAGGTCTTTAATTCGACAACACGGATGTGATTGTCATCAATATATATTCTTAGAGAAAATTTCCTATCACACCTAAAACAAAGGTTTGTTGATAGAGTTGTACTAGCGGAAGTTATGGATTCAACACAAGTAACCCCATTTCCTGTTGTTTCTTTGGCTTGCCATTGTAATCTCCTGCATATGTACTTGAAACCAAATTACTCCTGTTATGGATTCCCCATTTTGCTCCTCCCATATTCCCTGCACTTTCTTTCCTCAAGGTTATTTGATTTTTTTCATTGAATAGCTGTGCCATGTCCATTATTTTTGCCAAAGATCCCACCGAGTGTAACTTTAATTTAGCCCTCACCTTTTCTTTGAGACTATTCAGAAAAATTTCCTTCAAATATTCTTGTTCAGTGATTCTTAGAGGCCCTACATATATCTCAAAGTGTTCACAATATTCTTGTAGTGTTTTCTTGTTTTAATCCTAGCAAGATTTCGTATAGATTCTGCATCATTGAGGGTTGGAACCGCCGAATTATTGCTTGCGAAAACTGCTCCCATGATACACTGAAACCAAGTTAGTGCTCTTCCTTCTAGTGCAACCATGATGGCTGACATGCGTTCTCTTTCCAACGCCCCACATAACTGAAAATACCTTTCAATATTGGTAACCCAACCATATGCATCTCCCTCAAATTAGAATTTCAAGTTTTGTCCAACAGTCATTCTTCTCTGCCCTGTACTCTTCTTCCCCCCTGTTTTGAGTGTTTTCGCTTCCCGCATCCATATTTGAATTGTGGTGTAAGCCTTCTTGAATCTCTCCTAGCCTCTGCAAGATTTCTTGAACATTGTTTTTAGTGATGCAAATACGAACTTCAATTAAAGAATGTCACTCTCTTCTTCTCCTTGTTGCCGTAACTCTGATAAACTCCTATCTAATGCTTCTATACATTCCTCCATTCTTGTTCCCACCATGAATTGTGCCCAAGAAAGTAGAGCTTTAATCTAGTTATTAAAACTAGTTTAATACAGATGGAAAACAAAACAAAAGATTGTATTTATTAACAAGAATGTCACTTGATCAAGGTGACCAAGAAAGAGATGAAGATGTTTATCTGTTCGAGTATATTCGAGAGACTGAACTCTTTCCAACCTTACAATGATCCTGTTCCTTTCATGCGTTCTATCCTTTCATATTTCCTTTTATATACAATCTCTTACTATCCACCTCCAACTAATTTAGTTAGTTGTTTCTGACCCCTACCCCTCTTTTAATCCTTTTACCATACACTTGTTTTATTAATGGTTTGCTATCAGACTACTAAAAAAAAGATAGCGTGTAGAAAGAATCGTGGTGCAATCTATTGCGTCTTTGACTGACTTGTTAACGAAACATTTGTTTGTTTAATTAGAAAATAAGAATTTAAATAAATAAATTGTCCTTATCATGACTTTCTGAAGCTGCCTTGAGTCCACACCACCTATTGTTTTGATGTCAAAATCTGTCTAAACTAAACTACAAAACGTACAAACCAACTAGCAAATGTCAAGGGATGGCATTCAAGCAAAACCATTAAACTGGTGCAGTCCAAAGTAAGTTAAATTCGATTCAACTTTTATTTCATCCAGGTAACTCTTCAAATTTGTGTTTGAGAACAGCCGGCAATTTGCATTTCCAAACAAATCAGTAAAAGCTGAAAGGTCAGCAGATTTCTGAATGTTTTTCCAATAACATATTAGTAAACAAGGTTTTTAATGGCAAAACAGTTGCATTTCAAGCTGGATTTGAGGGACAAAAAGGAACTCTATGAAGACAGCACTTTCTCCACTTCTGTTGTCACCTCTTTGGGAGGCTTTTCGGCATGAAGATTAGCAACAATGCCCTTCTTTGAATAGTAATCAATAACCTGCATATCCAGTGAACGAATTTTCATTGTAGACCATAACAGTAAAGACAGAAAACAGAAAACAGAAAAAAATGAAATTTTACAAAACTAAAAAAATAAGGTGCTCTTAAGAAAATTAAACTGAAGAATTTGTATCAATGTATCTAAAATTGAAAAGGGGATAAATTGAGCCAAATGATGAGGAACGAACTTAACATCAACTTCAAATCAAACATAGATTATTGTTTTAAATAGATTGGCTGTGAAAAATAGATTATTGTGATTATGTTTATAATAAATTATGGTTATAATTAATTAGAATAGAATTTGTTTCTGTTTGGGAACTTTTGCTGAAAGGTAATTTTAAGATAATGAATTTTGATTGGATTGTGTAAAAATCACTTTATATAGTACACTATGAAAAAGGATATGAAGTTACTTGTCAATAATGTTAATAATTGTTGTCATAGGAAAAGGGTTTATGGAAAGAAGAGAGTTGAGAGAAATATAATCAAAGTTTTCCATCATAATGCACAGGAAGATGATGGACAAGAAACGGCTATTTTCACCATTAAAGAACAGATTTTTAAAATTTTCATCTGATTTGCTAAACATACTAGCTTAACTACGAAACAACTTTTTTCCCTCCAAAACCGCTTTAATCCCAAATTAGTTACCCCAAACAAGACATCATCAAGGAATTGGACAAAACAAATGCTTGCTGACCGCTAGTTTATATAAAAAGTTCCAAGTTTTACTAGATGCATTCTGATTCAAAATCATACCGGTTCAGTTTGTTTGTGGAATGCCTCCAGTCTTGACTTAAGAACAGCAGCAGTGTCATCCTTGCGCTGAATAAGAGGTTCACCAGTAACCTAAGAAGGAAAACAAATTTGACAATGTAAGTTGCAACACAACTATTCCTCAAAAGGATAGCCACTGTCAGAGAAAATCAGTATGGTCAGCAACTAAAACCAGCAGTGCACTCAAAACACTTTTACCCAAAGAATTAAACAATCTGAAAACAATTAAATGTGCTGCCTCAAATTCAGCATTATTTTTCTACTCTGAATGATAACAGGAGCTTTTAACTAACTCTCAATAATGCATCTATAAAATTAATCCTATTTACACAAATAACATTGTACAAATACAGATGCAGACTTACATCATCAACACCAGGGACCTTGGGAGGGGCAAACTTGGTATGGTATGTTCTGCCACTAGATGGGTGTATCCAGCGGCCAGTAATTCGCTCCTCAAGGATTGCATCATCAATTGCAAAATTGAGAACCTTATCAACTTTAACTCCCTGCTTTTCCAGCATCTCATCAAGCTGCAAAGCAAAGGAAAACCATCAAGTATGAACAAGTGTATGTGTGCATATCAGCGAACAACATCACGTTTAGCTCAAATATCCACCAATGTATTAAACCTTCTGTGCTTGAACCACAGTTCTAGGAAAACCATCAAGAATGAAACCTTTTTGACATGATGGTTTCTTAATTGCTTCATCTATAATGCCAACAACTAAGTCATCAGAAACAAGTTCTCCCTGAAATTTATAACATAACGCCAAGTTAGCAATCCCTATAGAAAGTTCACATATAAACAGCAAATCTTCAGGCAAGATATACAAAAGACCTTACCTTATCCATAGCTTCTTTAGCCTTAACACCAAGAGGAGTTTTAGCTGCCACAGCCGCTCTTAACATATCACCAGTAGCTAAGTGGCACAAACAGTACTCATCCTTTATGATTGGTGACTGGGTGCCTTTTCCTGACCCTGGTGGACCTGCATAACAATATTTAATGTTTATACCCCACTTGGTGTTTTCAATCTTTAGCATACACATAATAGTAATTCTAAAAGTTTCATATCTTAACTGTATAACCAAGTCTTATATGGATTATGAAGCATAACCCTACTCGAAAACTACAATTTCTTGTAAAATAATCTGAATGCTAGTTTATGAAACAAAAGCACCTCAACTTACAATGGTAGTAAAGGAGAAATCACATTGCAATTTACAATACTAACTCGTCCATTAAATTTGAAACTTCAACAAGGAAATTAGTCATGAGTTTCACTGTTCCTAAATTGCAAATTAAAGACTATCATCATAGAAATAAGAATGGCAATAGAAGAAACTCCTGATTCATAACAGGAGAAAACACACATTGCATTTCTACTTCTAGTTCACAACATAAACTGGCTCAATTTGAACGTTTAGGGAAGCAACAAAGTGTGCTTCATGTGTCTGTCGTGCAAGCAGAGAGCGTAGCAACACAAAAAGACAGCAATTGATTTAGGAGAAATACATTCCAGCATACATTCCAGCAGTAATTATATAATGTGGCGTGCAAGGCAAAAGTTTTTTTTATAAAGAGTTTAATTTCAAATGATAATCAAGCAAAGACAAAAACGAATATTTACAAAACTGACACGTAGTAATATTTATGCAAAATTATTTCATTGCAGCAAGTCTTTCAAGTCTCACTGCATACAAACCATAAAATCAGCTAAAAGATATCCAGAATTGCAGTAGGAAACAATTATAAACTTCCAAATTGTTATCTAACCACACAATAAGAAATTCATTACTAGTCTCTATCATCTAGCCACAGTTGAACGATAACCAGCAAAAACATAAAACATGTGTCGATCAAGTAAACCAAGAAAATTACCAAAAGGAAGGCAAGAATGTGGTGCATTTTTCTGAACATGGAAAAACCCTCAAAGAACGAGACACGTGTGTGAAAAACAGAAATTCATGAAAGCAAACCCTAGCAACGTTGAAAAGCAAAAAGGTGCAGAATTGAAAAGTTGGGATCTGAAGGGAGAGAGAAAGGGGAAACAAATACCAACGAGAATGAGACGCTTGTCGGGCTTGGAGGCACACTTCATGCGACGGAAAAGCTCAGACATGAGCTCGAGGGAAGGAACATCTTCCAAGTTAGGTGCAGTACTTGCGGCCATTGTTACTGGGGGCAGTGCAGTGCACAAATGTGAGTACAAAATGAATGACGAAACAAATAAGGTTTGTGTCCAAGTTACAGAGCGTTGTGTTGTTCGGAATCTCCAACGCACTTTACCTTCATACCCTTTTGTATACGGTGTCGTATGGTATCGACGCATGCTAAGGGATTTTTTTTTTTTAACGAATTTTGACAATCGATTTTTAAATTGAAAAATAGTTTAAATACAATTGTTAAATTTTTTAACTTTTATATTATGTCTCATATAATTTTTATATTTCTATTCGGTTGAGCCTTCATCTTTTCCAAACTAATATTTTAATAATTTAATGTTAACGTATTCTAATTTTTTTTTTTATTTTTGTTTAAATTTTAATTTTTTAATTTTTTATTTATTATTTATATTTGATTTTAATTTAATCTTATTTATCAATTATGGGGATAAATAAATCGGTTTAATCCATAAAAATGTGATAAATGTTTCTACAATTTAACTAAATCAAAATAAAAAGACTAACGAAAATAAATTACGAAACCAAATAATTTATCTAAATCATTAATAACATGGAATTTCCTCAATTTTTTGGCATTATTATTATAACTTCTTTTACGTGTATAATATAATAAGTTATGCAATTTAATAAATTGATATTATTATATGTTATAATTTTTTATAAAATTTTATTACATATAATTTTATCTTGAGTAATTATACAAGTTAAAAAATTATATAAATATTTAACTTATTTTATGGGTATATTTATCAAAATAACAATAAAAATGTTATATAAAATTATTTTAATTGATAAATATTTTAATGATAATAAATACAAATATATACATATTTAAAATTTTTAAATATAAAAAATATTTTTCTTAATAAAATATATTTTTATTATATTTAATGTGAATTAAGTATGTGTTTAGAGATATTTTAAAAAATAAAGTTTTAGAAATAGCTTCCATAATAACACATGAAAAATGTTTAAAGGAGTTATGGTTGTTGTTCATGGCAAACTTTCTAATAACTTATAAAAAACTCAAGTAAAGATTAATTTAAAAAATATCAATGTAATAGAATAAGAGTCTAAGGATTTGTGGCACCAAAGAAGAAAATGGTTTGTCAACCCTAATAAAGAAGAAATTAATCACTACTAAGGATACAACAAGCCATTCTTATAATCATTGTTTGTACAATAAACAACAAATTTATTTTAGCTCCTCATTAGTATAAAGATTAGAGTTACTAAGTTTGATTCACTGTGATGTATGTAGTCTCTTAGAGGTAAAATCATTAGGTGGTAACATGTCTCTTCTAACTTTTATTGATGATAATTCTAGAAAGGTCTTGGTGTATTTTGTAAGGACTAAGGATTGTACTAAAAATTTCAAGCAATTTCATGCGATGATAGAACGTGAGACAGAGAAGAAGTTGAAGTGTTTTTGTTTAGATAACGAAGGAGAGTATATTTCTAGGAAGTTCAATGCCTATTACAAGTAATGTGACATTTAACATGAAAAGACAGTACCACATACACCTCAACACAACTTTGTAGCAGAAAAGTTGAATTGAACTATTATGGAGAGAGTTAGAAGCATGCTTAGTATGGAAAAGTTGCCTAAAACATTATCGGGAAAGGTTGTTGTTCATAGGCAAGTGTACCAATTAAAAAATAATAAAGAGTTCTAAAATAAGTTATTGAATTATCATCTTACAAAGATTGATTCCAATTATTAAAAAAAATTTGATTTAATTATTTGAATAACGAAATTTATATTAAGTATGTTTAAAAATAAATCAATTATCAATGAAATTTAAAATAAGTAACAAACACACTTCTTCCCTGAACTTATAGAAGAGGAACCTAAGACATATTTATTTACTCATTCAATCTTTTATATTATTTTTATGTTTTAATTCTAAATCTGATTTCTTTGTAATTACCACTCATTCATACAAACACTATTAATACTTAATGATCATGTAATATTAATATTTTTTTCTAAATTAACATTCACAATGATCATGTAAGATATCAATTAAAGAAAGCATAAAGCATCTATGAATATTTTAATTTAATAACGATTGAGAAAGAAAGATTAGTTTAGTCCACCTAATCTTTTGTTTCGTTTTATCCTAGAAATTCATTAAATAATTGTTAATCTTAATAAATATTGCATAATCTATGTAGTATTTATTTGGACTTTTCAATACCTTTCTTATTATTTGTTGATAGATAAATTTATTTGTAATTTGCATAAGGATTATGGATAAAAATACATAACTGAAAAGCAGAAAACTAAAATCATAAAGGAATTCATATGCTAAGATAAAAAAAAAAAAAAAACCTAATATTAAGGATTTTTTTTTTGCTATAATGATCTTTGATCTTTAAAAAAGAATTCAAACTCTTGTTCCATAAAACACAAAAATCTCTAAGAATAATTTGTTATGACTCTAAGAAGGTGTTCACTGATTTTAATGGTTTTAAGATACAAAGAAAAAAAATGTGTCTAAATAATTAGAAATTTTTTTAATACTCTTCAAAAATCATATTTGACATGTTGCATAGGACTATTATATAAGTAGTATAATTATGTCGAGAAAAGAATGCAAAAATGTGTTATTTTGTATGAGTGTTCCTCAATCTATATTGTGCAATAAGTTTACCACTTTGCATCTTTGATAACCATCAACACATCTATTTAAAATTAAATCATTTTACAACAAAATTTGTTTAAAATTGGTTCCTTTTAGCCATGTATTAGTTGCAACAATTGAACATATCAATTTTGCATCAAATAAGGAAAAATGAGTGAAATTCAAATACTAACAAATATACCTAAATTTTACTTAATTTGTTTAAAAGATGATACCTACAAACTTATCATGGATGTTTATTATGTTCCTAAACTAAAAAACAATATTTTAAGTTTTGAACAACTTGTTGAAAAGGGAAATAAAATTCTTATGAAAAATTATTATTTGTGACTTAGAGATCAAAATTCTAACTTAATTGTTAAGGTGTTTATGTCAAGAAACAAAATATTTATTTTAACCATTGAGACCATTGAAGCAACATGTTTGAAGGGTAACACTAAAAATGAATCATGGTTTTGACACATGAGATTTGGGCATTTAAACTTTGATGCACTTAAAGCTCTAGGAGATGAGAAGATAATGAGAGAAATATCTTTCATTAACCATCCCAATCAATTGTGTGAAGCATGCTGTAACACCTTAAATTTAATTTCAAATAAATAATAATTTTACAAATTTGAAATAATAAAAGTTTCATAAAATATTTTGAAATAAGGAAAGGTTTACAAGTTATATCAAATAACTGCTACAGGACCATTTCTAATACAACAATCTCAAAATAACATTCTAAGCCCTATAGCAGTTCCATCCAATTCTTCACTAAGTTCGGTGCTGATCATCTTGATTACCTGAAACATGAATGTAAATGTGAATACTCTACACTACCAAACACACAAACAAACATAGAGTCTCATCTTGCACATAATTCACATTATTTCTAATACACTTCACACAATATAATCACAGACAGCATTATTACGCATATCATTTCCATTCATAATCGATGCACTCATGGCACCAAAACATTTATACACACACGCTCTCACTACACCCAGCCACGCTCACTGTGGCACTGTGATCACAGATTTTTACCATGAATGGTCGCCGATTACCCCTGCCACACGGATACCACGTGAGCAGTCATGGGTCACTCAGCAAAGGTAGTGGTCAGAGGTCTAGTTGTAACGTCTCAAATTTTGCTAATATTAATTATTGTATTTATATAAATCTAAATGCATATATATGTGTGTACTAGTGTAAATGAATGTTATGAATTTACCTTGGATGCATAATGATGGTGTTTTGTGTGTAATGAGCATGAATATATGTACATATATGTATGTTGGGGATGTGTGTATGTATATACGTGTATGCATGACTGAATAGGGCTTTAATGGGCTAAGTGCCTAAATGTAGGGCATGATACTGGGTTGTTCTCGTTACAGCGAGAGGATTCTCGCTGTAGCGAGAGAGCCCTGGGAGAAAGGACCAGAACTGTTGCCTTCTCGCTGTAGCGAGAGACGTCTCGCTGTAGCGATAGAGTGATAGTTTGGAGTGCATTTCTAGGTGCAGTTTCACTATAGCGAGATTCTGCAAAAATCAGAGTGCAGTTTTCTCAGGTTTTTTCACTATAATGAGAGATATCTCGCTGTAACGAGAGTATCGCGACCAGAAAAGGATTTAAAGGGGGTTAGGGTTCGAGGAGAGTTATTTCTCTCTCTCCCTTCAATCCTCTTATTCCCCAAAGCCCTATTCCACTGATTAATTGCCTCCAAAGCCATTTGGGAGCTTGATTGAAGGTTAAATCTGTGTGAGGAACGCTTGGAGGTAAGTTTTAATGATTAGGGTTCTGTTTCTCATCCCCAATTCTCTGTTTCTCGGTTTCTTGGGGTTCTCATGGAGTTCTTCCATATGTTTTAGGCCGCAATTTGTGTAGGGAGCATGTCTGTGGTCGAATCCGAGTGTGGACCTTCAATTTAAGGTAAGGGGGACTTTATTCTACTCTTTTGTGCATGAATTGTTGTTGTTTTGCTGAATATTGTGTTGTGCCTGAGTTAGTGGGTAGGAAATTGCTGAGAAATGTAATGTGGGTCAAGTGCCGTGATGTGTGAACATTATGTGTGTTGACTCGAAATTGATAGATTGTATGTAAATGTTGTGTGACAGAATGAGGGCATGTATGCCGAGTGTTGTGAATGGGTATGGGCACTTATGCCGTGTATTTGAATGAATATAGTGAAAATGTGGGCCCAAGGGTCATGTAATATAAACAATAATTATAGACTATGTGTCGTGTGCTGTGAAATGGAATGTGGGCTGTGTGCCGTGTGTAAGCATGATTACTGCATGCGTGAATGAAATATGTGTGAATGGGCATGTTAGCGCCGTTGTAATGTGTTGTGAATGGTTCAATGATACACTGAGGATGTGGGAGATAAGGACGGTAGAAATATCTTGGAGAAGAGGGAGTGGTGGTGATACCG